AACCTCTCATTACCCATCCATGAAGAAGTCGTTTTATACACAAATTCTTAAAAAAAAAAGTGCTGCAAAAACTATCCATGGACGAACCCAGCAGTGCCGTTGCTGTTGTCTTCACAATGAATTACAAATAACCGTTCGTTCCGTTCTCTCTACCCAGCACCTTCTTGTACCTTCTTCGTCTGTTCGTGCTATCATACATGATAGTCTGACACTTGACGCGGTCGATTCCCGCCGTGGTCACAGGCTAACTTATCCAAAAAGTTATACGAAAATAAAATGGACCCGAAGAAGGGTCCGCAAGTCAACGACAGACTAGTCTAGGACCTTCCGCTCGCTTCAATACGCTATGCGAGGTAGAAACTATAGACTGGACAATGAAGCAAACAATGAGCAAACGAATGTTAGAGGCGACCTCACGCGCACCCGAAAAACCGTCAGTCTTCGACCGGCATATCTCACTACGCCCATCCATGCGCATGCACTTTTTTGTGGCGAGGGACTCCATGCTTTCAAGAATCATCTCGTTGAACTGTTTTTTTCGTTTACATACATGTAGTGCGCACGTCATACCCGAATGAAAAGGAGACCACACCCAGAACGCGCTCTTCCGCACGCTGGGAAAGAATCCGGGAATAAATGAATGCGGACCCCAGAGGATACGCTTTTCACAGTAGGTTTCCTCTCCGAAACGAAAGAACCGGACGGGAGAGAGGGAAAAAAGAAAAGAGAAGAGGCGTAGGACACGTTCCCCGTCATGGGCATTTCATAAGAGTCGTATTGTGGTAGTGGCATGAACCTCTCTCTGCGATCAGGTCAGAAGACCACCAGTCCCCGGAGCTCTTCTGTTGGACCCACCCATGGACGCAGTAGTAGTAGCGCATGTCCTGTAGTAGACAACTACTGCTGAAAATATTGGAGACCACGAATGAATCATACATACCGACAGGTGGGTCGTGGGTGGGCGGGGGACCCTAAGAAGCAGTCGGACTCAGCCAGTTGACATCCTCATAGTTTCTTGCATGCAATAACGAAGGGCGATCACAAAAGAGAGACCGCCAGCGACAGGAAACAAAGAAGAAGTAGAGGAGAGCAGAGCCAAGAAACAAGTGAAGAAACAAGACCCCCTTGCCGCTCTGACCCACTGGAAGCTTTCCATGTACCGCAGCAAACAGCAGGGGCAGCACCCACTACCTCACATGCAGTAGCCGGATATATGCACGGACTGGTACGTATAGTAGAAGTTTAGTCACTTTCTCCGGCAAGAACAACAACGCCCGGGCGAACTTGAACGTGTAGTCACAAGAAATAGCGTCATGATGACGTCATCCATTCTGCTTGCCATGGGAGATGCTCATCGTTACGCGAGGAAGGCGTTAACTCTTCGCATAGAATATGCTGCCGTAGACCCTATATCCTTCAAGCTCAACTACAGCTACACCCGATACATGGTAGCATCATATCCAGCTGTAGAAGAATCGACAAAAAAACTGTTTTCTTGGTGGCGAAGCGGACCCTCTTTATTGTGACTCTCCAACTGCTGTTCGTGGATGGCGACGACATGGCGACACAGACAGACCAAATCTAGGGTTTGACGTCGGTCTTATCCGCTGCTGGAGGTGGAAGCTATACTTAAAGTCGGGGAGGGGTCGTGATTTGTAATTCCCTACGGAACCGTACTTGAGGCGCGTGAGGTTTGCACTGCCGTAGCCGAGGTTATTTGTCGGCAGGGAAACATAAAATCAAAATCTTCGGCGGACCGGACCCTCTTTTTTTCAACTGGCCAACTGTTGTTTGGATGGCGAGAAAATTTGCGGTCTTCTTATCCGTCACAGGAGGCCGAAGCTGATGCTCAAACTCGGGGAGGGGTCATGGTTTGCGAGTCCCTACCGAACCATAATCGCTCGGGGCACCATGTCACGGACATGACAAGAGAAACATCCCCCCAACGAAAACTGCTGAAATTCATGGAGTGGTGGATGAGTGGGGGACCCCAAAACAATGAAAGAGTCGCGGTTCGCGTTGTTCTGGGGCTCTACCGGCGAAAAACACCGTCGACGCTCTGAACCGCTAGAAGCTGTCACGCAGCACTGCATGTGCGGCGAACTGTGGGGGGCGTGCGCATTGCTTGACGGAAAGAGGCGGTGCCCATTGCCTCACATGCAGCAGCCGGGTACACGGGTAGCCTCTCCTACTCAGCAAGACGCAAAACGATTGCCGTTGATGTTATTGGGGACCCTAACGGCGAAAATGCAACAGAGAGAGAGAGGCAGACCAAAGGAAGTGAGACTGGAGAAGACAAGGGCATGAACTCTAGAGAAGACACTCACTCTCATCCCTCTGGTCCACCGCAGGCTTGAACACGTGTAACGAACGGCGACATCCGATGTGCGCTCGGCAACAACAAACACGACAAAAGAATAATAGTCGTCGTTTCCGAACTGCTGTGGAGATACTATAAGTTGGTGGAGACTTTCTTTCTTTTCTGGTATGAAGTGGCAACAAGAAGAACACGACTATCTGTCTGTGTAGACTAGAAGCACGACGGACGAACTATTATCTCAATGCGCTTGCCGTCGCGATAGATGCGCACCGCTACCGCTATACGAACGAGCAGACTGTTGTCAAACCTGACTACGATAACCGTACGACCATTGCAGCATATTCCGACCATAACAGCAGAAACCGCAGCAGCAGCCGCATGTGTACAATGGTCACTCAAGAACAAACGCAAACAAAAACGAAATGTGGCGCGCAGCACGCAGGACCCTTTTTCGCAGTTCAACCGGCCGTTTCCATGGCGAAACGGGCAAGGAACAGTCAAGGCCGACTCTTGCCGGCCACAGGAGGCGGAAGCCGCTCAAACTCGGGGACGGCTCATGACTTGCGATTCCACACCGAACCATACTCAAGGCGCCACGAGATTTGCACTGTTTAGCTCGAGATCAGCATTTGAGACCGGGTCGGGCAGGGGTGGGGCATGCGAATGAAACTTCCACGGATATTGAACGATGATGTCCAGCATTAGACCAAGTCCATTGCTTGACAGAAGAAAAAAAAAAATGATTTTGGCGCGCAGCACGCAGGACCCTCTTTCGCTGTTCAACCGGCCGTTTCCATGGCGAAACAGACAAGGAACAGTCAAGGCCGAGTCGTGTCGGCCACAGGAAGTGGAAGCTGCTGAAACTCGGGGAGGGGTCATGGTTTGCGATTGCCTACCGAACCATACTTGGGGCGCCACGACATTTGCACTGTAGCTCGAGATCAGCATTTGAGACCGGGTCGGGCAAGGGGTGGGGCATGCGAATAAAAGTCCCACCCACCCACGGATATTGAAATATGAGACTGAAGCTACAAAGCTTCAGAAATGGGATCGAGGTGACGCAAGGTACGCCACTTGTGGAACAGCCAAGCACTAGGAGGGGAAGTAGATGCCAACTGCTCTAGTCATAGCCTATGGAGAATTGTTTCAAGCGCTTGGTGATACATCGAATGCATTGGAATGAGCTAGACGTAGCGAACCACAGCGAGTGGTCCCATCGCCGCCTGGAGTGCTATTGCAGACGTACCTCAATGATTAATGTAGGTTTGATGCAATATGGAGTTCCTAAACGATTGTTTGGCAAGTAATGTTTGTGGGTAGTTCTGTTTGGGCTGCCCTGCATTCGATAGTGATCTGCGGGGATTCTGGGGTGTGTGTGCGGTAGGGTAGGTGGGCGGCGCGGCATCCGGCATGGGGTCCTCGCATACCATCTACTCCACTGATTCCCTCTAGCAGCAGTGTTCACCTTCTTGCAGGCAAAGGTGATGCAAAATGAAGGGGGGTCTCAAGTGCCGTAGCACTGCCCTTCCTTGGGTATGATCAATTCAATCGTTAGCGAAACAACTGAAGATTGACGGGCATATTTACTTATCCTTCCCCATAAACTCAAGCAATATCGTTTCCCACGCGGCACGAACTCGGTGCCTCGCACAAGCATTTGTGTGCCCCTTGCGCGCGCGCATGGAAATCGAGACATTTGTTTTCGATGGAGCTCAGGGACATCGATCAGAGCTCGTGACCCGGCCGAGCGAAAGAAGACGGCTTCAACAACGGTGATCTGCTAGAGCGACCGGATCGGCTGTATAAACAGTGACCCTCCGTACCTACGTGCGTTGTCTTCCCCTAGGACGCACTCGGTAATTTTTACATGAGTTCGTAGGTCCTTAGAGCTACAAACACAAATTTGCAGCAGATGCTCACGTTTCCACGGCACCGTCGGCATCGCCGCTACACATTCCAATGTATCTCCTTCCTCTCTGCCAGTAAATATGCATACATACCATGACGGCGGCTGAAGCAAAAGCCGTTCACTGCTTTCAATGTCCACCCTGCGATAACCGCATCTCTTGCACACGACCCACCCCGCATTCTTCCATTCCAACGCGGCCACCCCCCCCTCCAACCGAAGACGCCATTCCATCGAAAAGCTATCGAGGCCTGTCGATATGCTGAAGCTGCAGCAAGAACCAACAGGAACCCACCTCGTTTCCACCTCCGTGTATCTGTCCAGTGATTGGGATCGCCTAATCCAGTGCAAAAACTGCTACCTGGTAGACCTTACCATCTTCCCGCAAACACCGCGTCAACTTAATCCCTGTATGGCAAACTTCGTCCTCGGTGCCCTCGGCTTGATAGCGTTCCTCGGCTCAAAACCCCCGCGCCGCCTCCGCTCCGGCGTTTACTCTTCGACGCCAACGAGCTCGTACGGATCTGTGGTCAGCTCCACGCTGAGCACCGAACCAAAGAAGTCGGTGACGTGGATCTGGCAAAACCATCATTGAGGGAAGGAATGCGGCGCGCAGACGCAGGGAGGCCGGAGCAAGGTAATTGAGACTATCTCCCGCGGTTTGTCGTGCGGAGGGTTTGCAGGGTCATAATTCGACCAATCCGACATCACAGAGCGCGCACAGTGCCTGCGTTCGGTGTGTCGGCCTGTTTAGAGGCAGAGGGACCAACTCACCTCGTTCGAGCCCGCAGCGTGGCTACGGCCGGGGCAAACCCCACACCGTCCTGGTGGGGTAAACGACAGATTGCTACGAGCGCGATCGGCCGTTAAGGGCGAAAGAGGGAAAAATAACAAAAACAAGGCACGCACAGCTTCTCTGGCGCACACTTTCGGCCAAGCCTGCGCATGCCATTGCCCGCGGAGCAGGTACAAGTCTCCAAAGCGCGGGAAAATCTACTTGGGCATGGCAATCGAAGACGAACACCGGTAGATTTCACTGCGCAAGCGTAACCTGCGCGCATCCCACAGCTCTTTGATACGTCGCGCTCCAATTTTCATCGCTACAGGCGTGCTGACGGATATTTGACACCAATAATGTGCCGTCGACGGGGCAGTCTTGTACTTTCGGCGAAACAATCCGAGACATCGACGTCAATGACTACGCCTGAATTCTCAAGCGTAAAGGTTTCTTCGCGCGTGGACGCGTGCGTGTAACACGAACCATATTTAACGGGGGTCCCGTCCAGCCCTTGAGCTCCACCGTCGGCGATGAGAGGAGTGACTTCGGCCGCATCGAATGCATCAAGGCCCCTAGGGTGACCTGGATAGCATGCGGACAAGGGTTGCATATTCATGACGTAGTGCGCTACATCAATAATGGATATCGGCAGGGGCGGGATGGCGTTCTTGTACGCATGCAACAAGACCAAATGCGTGTGGGTGGCTTGGTGGTTTAGGGATAGCTTGACGGAGAGCGCAGATATAGGGCGGGCAATACAGGCGGGTATTCCGCGTGTTGAAATTGGACCCAGGCGTAGCCAGCACGACAGCAGCAATGTTCCAAAGACGCCTCCGCATTCTTCAGATCTGAATAGCAAAAAAACGATGTTGCGGCTGGTTTTGAACCACGGATGAGCACCGATAGCACCAACGGAAACACAAAACAACGCCAACTCAATTGCACCAAACAGTAGCAGCATCACCTGGCCACAGGACACATACAAGCAGCAAGAAACTCCCATGGGAAACAAGTGCCAACGGCAACGAGCATCAAGGCCGCTCATGCGCAACCTTACACAATATAACAATATATTCTCCCATTTACACTGGTTCTAAACCATCCAGCAAAAAAACTAGGAAAACGAAACCCCGATTTGAAAAACACAAAATAACACATGTAGTTTCAAACCAACCCACATCATTTCTTAGGTTCAGCGGGGCGGAGTTTCCGCTACTGAACCCCCGCACTCTGTTCGCCGTGACGTCTTCCCCCTTCGTTATCGCGGCCTGAAAAAAGTCCAGCATCGCAGACGTGAACCTGTCCATCAGGGACAGCCCGATCGTTGCGTCGCTCTGCCGAGGACATCGGTGAGAGGTATGAAGTCGGAGAAACACGCCGGGTAAGACACGGTTAGTGGCCGGCTTCAAGACCAAGGTTGCGTTCTCTGACTAAACAAGCACGAAATGCGGCTATTACGCACCTTGCCGAGACTCTTGCTCTCAACCTTGCCGCTTGAAGGTTTTTGACCGTGCCAACTAGGTGCGAGACACGCTATTACAGTGCAAGAACTCACCCCTCGAGCGTACGAGTTCTCCCCCCGGACGCTGCTGCCGATGCAGATTACATCCTTTGAATCGATCTCTTCGAAGAGAGTCATTGCCTGGCACGTATCCACCATGAACAGCACCTGGTTTTGTCGGGTATCATGGAAAGTTCGGCGAATTTTCAAGGTTTTTCCAAGAATCGAACCAAGCATCGAATCATCACGGGCGCGAGCTGAGGACAACGGACGCGGTGGTCGCACGCGTGCGGTGAGGCATGCCGATCAATTGGCGACAAAGGCAGCCAAAAGAAGGGCGACAAGTGGCCAACAGGCCAAAACGCACGACAACAGAAGGGGTTACACATACTACGTACCAAATTTAGAGGTCAACACACGTTAGACCTGAACAACACCGCTAGAATAAATAGTACCGCAACTACCGCCACCACAATAACGTTGATTCGCCTTCGGGACGTGACTTCGAGTGCCCCCGCCCCAACGCCCCAACGCCGCCCCGCATCATGCGGTCTGGCGTTTCAAGACACGCACCCTGTGATACCGCTTCTTGAGCTCCATCTCTCGCAAGGCTCCCCCCAGGTCGTGGCTGGATACTTCTTCCATGTCGTGGAACTTGAGGAATTGGTCTCCGCCGTGTCCGTTCATGTAGATGAGCACGTTGCTGTGCTCGTCTGTCGCCAGCGTCTGCACCGGTTGTTCGCAAGAGACGTTGTCGAGAGGGGGGTGGATAAAGAGGGGAGAGGGGGGCAAAGGCAGACGGCCGAAGGGGGAGCAACAAACAGCAACGCATGCACAACACATACTAAAAGGAGAGAGAAAGAGAGAGATGACCACAACCAAGACGTAGCATGGTGGGATTGTAGATGGTTGGTTGGGATAGAGGGGAGTGCATAGAACGAAAATACAGGAATCAGGATAGCACACACAGGAGGAGATATACGTGAACGGTGCGGTCTCGCTTCCTGCATCGGGATTACCTTGGAAGGCGGTGTTCCCGGTAGAGTTCGCCCGGTTAACAGGCGCAGGAAGCTCTCCACACTCACTTCTTCTCCTCTGGGCACAAAAACAAAAAGCAGCATAGCGTGCGCGGTTGCTTTCGACCGTGAGGTTGTCGCGGGTTTCGATTTCCTGGTGCAATGATATGCAACGAAAGAGCCGAACCTGGCTGAACGACGGCAACTGTTTTGATGGCGATGCTTTCGCGCGTGCCATGATCAGAAGGCAGCCGCCTACACCAAAGACACATTTGTGAACAAGAGGGTACAACGGTTTTGCTGCGTTTTCCTCCAATCTGTTGTGAGTCTAGGGTCCCACCTCGTTATGGAGTGGATATTTTTCTAGGGACGTGAGCGCGGGAACGCCCGTGGCTTTGTCTTCAGTTGGTAACCTACTGAAGTCGGACCCGAGGCTCTATGGTATACGATATGTTTTCTCCGGGATGCAAAAACTCGCAATGTAGAAATGAAACGCGCGCGGTCTTGAGTGCACACAACACAGAGGGAAGAGACAGCTTAACTCTTCTCGCAACTCTTCTCGCGCTAAAATTGAATGCAAGCACCGCAGCAGGAACGAATAACAAAGAACTTCTGTCTTGACGTTCCGCCTGTGTCACCCCGACTGGCGGGTCAAATATATACACCGCACCGTGCAGGCTGGTGCCCAGATTTGTTGATGAGGCGAGGTCAACAACAACGTGTACGAGACTTCTCCCTTGCAGCAACGAGAAGGAACTGCCTTTGACGCAGACACCAACCCTTCCACGCAAAACAAAACGGGACCGGCCACAACGAAATGAAGAGCGTGTGTGCGATGCAACACTAAAAGTACCAAACAAGAATCATATGCAATACCTGTAGTCCACTTCGACGTCTCCTTCGTAAAGGTTGAGCTCATGGTCCTTGCTGTTATATACCCCCCCCGGAAACGGATTCCTAGCGTTGCAGGGCATGTCGTCCGCCAGCATCAGCACGATGTTCGAGTCCGGGATGCCCAGGCGCCTGACCGTGTGGTACACCGACAGGGTGTTGGCCACGTGCCGGTAGTTGAACCAGAAGCGGGATGTGCACACCTGCATCGATTGTACATAGAGGAAAAGTGCTGCCACTTTAACAAGTAATCACGTGAGAGGGGACTAACCGTACCAGATGTGTCCCGCAAACAATCAACTTCATTATCAACAGTGTATCTTCGCTGTTCTTGAAGTTGTGTGTTCGGTGTCTGCATCACACTGACAGGCAGATGTGGTGCTTAAAGTAGGCCCTACATGTAGCAAACTGTAAGCATGGCTGGTCAGGGTAACTAACGGAACGCTGTATGCATGTTGTACCGAACGGTCAACCGATTTACCAGGTCTAAAGCTCGTCGGAAGATCTTGCTCTCCAACAACAAAATCCAACAGCAATATCCACGAAAAAAAAAAAAATGCTGCACACCACAGGTGTCATCTACGCTGGTCCACCGCCGTGTTGTTCTTCCTCTGCGGGTTGTGGCGGACGCGACTGCTTTTCCCATGCATAACCAGAGGGGTCGTCAACCTATTGGTCCCAATCGTGCTTAAAGGCGCTCGATTCCCTACGAGGACAGCCAATGCGCCGCTCACAGCCTCGGCAGATAGGATTTCCAGCAGGTGAATGTGCTGATGACGGCGTACACGCTTAGCTTGTCATTGGTGTGATGGGGTCGTCGCCTACACTCCACACGCACTACCTTCTAGAGCTCTTCTCACCAGCACGGCCCAGTTGTTGTTGTGACGAGAGCTTGCTCCTTTGGCGCCAGCAGCTGTCGAGGCGGTGACACCAACAGCGGAGAACAAGGGAACGGAACAGAGGAGGAGGACGGCCAACGAGATTGACAGAAACCACGCCCTGTATGTCTTTCGCACCTCCGCTGAACGCACCACAAGCAAGGACACCCCCGACCCGGCCCTCTTTTTCATGGTTTCCGTGTTTGTGTAAGCAGGTTTGGCAACAGCAGCGCGACCGCGTGTGGTGTTGTCCCAGTTCCAGCAGCTTCATGGGTTCCGCGAGGTTCCGCCGCTTGGGGGCTACGCAGCATCATATACCCCCCCGTACCTTCTACCTTTGGATACGGCTCGTTGAGTGTGATGCTCCCTCACGCGCGATCCAAAACCACGCGCGCGAGAGAGAGCGCCTGTCAAGTGCATTTCAACATAGAAAACTACACGCGGGTGTTCAAGCCAGTACAGTCTAGAGGGGTGAGGGCCGGATAGTACAAGAAGCACCATTGTAGTGCAAGAAAGCACACTGTGTACTACTACAAAGTACTTTTTTGTAGGTCGTGTTGTCTTGAGTCTCACGTTCGGAACGAGCCCCTACAGGTCTACATGGAGGTTCTTCTGTGCAAGGTCACCGTGCAATATTCGCATACCGAGCACGATGAATAGTAGCACTCCGCCGACGTTGATGGCCCCTTGGGCCGAGCTGAACCCTGGAGAGGGGCGTTTCGACCAGCTCGGAAATTCCCTGCTTGAGAGCTCGAGCGAAGAAGGAGACGACCAAGAAGACGAGGAGGGTCGCTGCGCAACAGATGAAGAATCCACCGAGGTGTCTGTGACAGTTGTTGTTGCTGTGGTTGGTATTTAGGTCCACGTATCTTGTGGCGCCAGTCTACATGTCTTCGTATATTTGATGTATTGGCCAAGGTCACACAGGAGTGGTACCACACAACTTCAATTGTGCGGCGCGTATCCCTCACTTGTATTTTGCTTGAAATGGGTACAACTACATAACACTTTTGTGCAACATTTTCCAACGACAGAGTGTGAAGTCCTTACCGATCTGGTGAATCTGGTGCTTCCGAAGTGTCACTTTGTCTAGCGAACATATTTGCCTCGTGATTCGCCATGCATACTACATGTGTGAAACCGTGGCGTGGTGAGTTGTGCAGATCTCTTACACCAGGTACTACTTAGAGACTTCATTGTTTCTCGAGTTCTGGTTTCGGCCAATGAATGTGACGCCCGCTCGTTTACCATCGCCTACATTGTTGTTCATCAACGTATATGCAAACGATCCAGATCGCAGCTCTGAGAAGACGGCGAGCGTACATCATCGCCCAGCTGCACAACGTGGGACAGTCAATTCGGGAGACCGAGGCCGAAGTTCTTGCGGGAAAGTGCGTACCAGAGGTGGGTACGTTGTTCTTTCTTTGAGGCTGACCGGGATGGGCTGGCTTCCAACCGACACGGAACCCGGCTGACACTCCATTCTTTGTCAGAAACAATTATCCGTGCTCCGACAAGAAGTGCAAAACCTCTGCCGATATGGCGAGACACATGATGTAAAGGGGGTCATATCAACGCCAGTTTTTTTGTGGAAAGGGTTGGGCACACAACAGACTGTTAGCGCTGGTCGGCGTTTGCCTTTCGTTGGGCGTGAAACGAGGCCTGAGATGGGCATCTGTACACGGTATACACAGGGGCGCATAGGTCCAGGACCCTCACTCCCTCAATCCAGGTTACTCATATTGTGGCGCTTTTCTCGATGCCTGGGTAACAAGTTGGTGCCATCCTTTCTTCTCCTCGAACCAAGACTTGTGAGCGCGTGGAGAGGCGGCGACGAACGTTTTGGTGGGGCTTATTTTCTATTGTAGGTTCTGGTGTAAAATTTGGGCTAGCGAATCATCTACATGAAACGGATGACTACTCCGTCTGAACAGATTTCAAAGCGAGATCTAGCACCGCAGGACACGGTCGACGAGTCCAAGACAGGCTCGTTCCTGCATGCCGTCAACTGGTCAGCTGGTACTGACGACGGGCCGGGCCCCAAACCACTGACGGACAGGTATATCTCTCATTGGTTTGTTTTGTTGTCTGTTCCGCCTACTATCTTGCACGGATAATGAGAATAACCCAAAGCATCTCCACCAAGTTTGATGCTTGACTCTTTCGCTGTGCACAGCTGCTGCTCTGGATACCCCCATTATGTTCCCAGTCTCCCTGTCGTGAACGGCAGGCGGTATTGAAAGGATCGATCCCGAGCGTTTCTGTGAGTCTAGCATAGGACAACGTTGACCCAGCGTGACCCTCCGCGTGCTTTCAAGCCGTTTTCACCGCCTTTACGTGGTGTCCACTTGCTTGTTATCCAGACAAACCGTGAACCGGGCGACGAATAGGGTCGTACCAGTAAGCTAGGGCGCGAGCGGCTCCTTGGATATAACAAGATCTCCCCCGAGATGGATTGATATTCAACGAGGCCTCCGTTTGGACTTGTCTATGTTGGTCGTGCTATGCAGGGCGATGGATCGAGCCCGAGCGCTGCTACGGCTGTTCGACGCTGACGGCGACGGGTGCTTGAGCTTTGACGAATTTCGAGGTACCGTTGGTTCATGCCCGTGATGGTCCCAAATGCAAACGGGTGGAGCTCCTCCATGTGACCCACCGAGGAATTTCATTGATAAAGATCCGCGGGGAGTGATATGTTGTTTATTTGAATAGGTGCCCGACTGTTGTCTATTGCAACTGGAAGAACAACATGGGGTAGACCTCTAGGTCGAAAACAACATTAAGAGAAACATGACCCGCATGTTGATGTTTTCTCTCTTCTGACTGAAGGGTCAAGAGAACTGATACTCTAACTATGTAACAGTGGCGAGATGTGTAATTCCTACAGTAGACCGGTGGTTTGTTGATCCAACGATGGTCTACAAGTGTGAGTCCCACAAACCTTCTGTGTCCCCGACGAATCGGGAAGACCCCAAGAATATACCCTGTGCCAGCCGTCTGTATGGGGCTTGTTGATCATTCTTGGGCGGACATCTCGGTCTAACCTAAATCGAAGACGAACCTTGTGCATATTGTGACCCGGGGATACAAATGCAGTTGTTCACTTACGTAACCATTTCCATGTGTTCGTACTCGTGTGTTGAACGAGTTGAGTTTCCTATCATATGTACCATAGTGTCGGCTGAAGTCTCGTGTCCGTTCCCGACGACCTCAGCATACTTGGTGAGGCTTGGCCGTGACAAGGGGAAGCTGGGCGAACGGCTGACGACCAACAGGTATACGTTCACAACAGGAGGGGAACACGTCGCGCATATCTTCTTGAACTGAAAATGAATAACAATGTCTTGGGATAGTTATTAAACGTATCAGCCGGGATAATTATTGCAGAAGAATACATCAATACCTTCTGTAGGGGTGATTTCGGAAAGTAGTGGCATGTTCTTTGTTTTAAAGTGCTTGTCCGAACCTATTATACCGTTCTTGGAGCGGAAATAGTTGTTAGCACTATTCGACTCGCACCTTTTCGGCGTTTTTGAGCCCCAACGAGAAATTATTGTGTCTACGTGCTACGAAGGCGCCGCATGGAGTTCAAGGAAATCAACAGAACCCGGCGGTTCAACAACAACGCCTTGTCTCGGGGCCAGATAGTAGATAAGTGCTACACCCTCAGCCCATTGCTCCGGTGGTCTTGCGAAACGGCACACACCAGGGAGTTCTGGCTGAGCTACGTTGCGGATCAGGCGGGGCCCCCGGCGGCGGCGGACGTCGGAGGCGCGGTCTCCTTCGACGGGTGCCTGACCCAGTCCGGGTTCGTCGGCCATCGCCGGATGGTTGAGGCGGATCACCCTCTGGAGGTAGACCTGCTGACGATGGGACTCGACCTCTTGCCGGAGAGCCTCCAGCGATGGCTCCGGGTCAAAGTGAGCGAGCGGGATGAGCTGACCGCGTGCTCCCTTCTTGAGCTCCCACGTTTTCGATCAAAGAGTGGCCGCGTGCTAGTTGTCGTACGGTGGACTCTTGGAAATTCCGGCCGCAACGACTGGCAGGTCGAACTGGGCCACGTGGATGTTACTGTCGGGTTTCCTGTGAAGGGCAGTCTTGGGTATCCAGGTTTTCCGCAGTAGGGCTTAGTTTCCAACGCATAACTCATGTGCCGCCACGCACATTTTCTTGAATCGTACCGAAACGACCGTGGCGATGATTGCACGCACTCTGTGCTCGTCAATCAGCGTGCATTGCTGTCAACCCCAAAAGGAAGATATCGTTCGTGAAACGTACCAATGCGTTACTGGCAGGCGCCGCCATGCCCCCCCGTCCCAGCTTTTAACACTTAACGAAGTTCACACACACACCCCGACGTACTTTTGCCGATACACAAAGAACGCATTCGATCGTATAGATGCCGAAGGAGTGTCGGCAGCAACGGAGCGTGGAGAAAGAGGCGCCAAGTCGCGAGGAGATTACGATGGCAGCGTAGACAGGGGGGAGGCGCAGCTCCTTCTCGCCGATGCCGGCGAAGTCATGTCGAAGCTAAGGGTGAGGCAACCTGCCGTGAAGGCGTGGTTCTCCGTTCAGTTGTTCACCCGCCCTCTCGCTGGCCACCAAGGCGCACATTTCGAAAACGAGCGTTGATTCCGACCACATACAGAGCGCGTACGTCGTAGAGGGAAACACCGAACGACTAAACGCAAAAACTCGCCAGAATCAATATCTTCAATGTTTTCCAGGAATCCTTGCTGCATATCGTGGCTGTAGCCCATCACCACGTAGAGTTTTCGCCAATTTCTGAAACGCCTATCGCTACCAATGACGTTGTGCAGAGAAATCGGGCAACAACCAGCATGGTGCTCCCCTTCCTGGCACGTAGTCTATCATGATGCCCACGTAATAACCACAGTTTTCCCGAGTGTTGCAGGGGAACGACGTAGCCTCTATGCTCGGTCATGTACGTTAGCTCGACAGCCAGCGCGTAGCCCCGAAAGCCTTCTCGAAATGAGACGGGGGTGCCGTGGATGGTTACAGTGCCTTCAACAAGAATCACGGTTGTTGCCTTTTCTTCCCGTTGTTTTTGGCAAATTGGTAGGTTGAGGAGGAGCTCACTCTGGCGACCATGCACGCCAAGCTAATGCTCGAGGTTGTCGAGGAGCGGCGCAAGCGCAACAGGTGATAAGACTCGGACCCGCTATCGCACGGCCAGCCGCGGAAGTAAGGCCGTAGAATCTTATTTGCCGTCTCGTGTAGAACAGTTCAGATTGCCTTTGGGTCTCGACACTGCTGGTGGTCATCACATAGTTCTGTATTAGGATTCGCAGGCATCGGCCACGCTCACGATACCGCTGACAGCATCGAACACAATATGATGCGCCGTACCTGAGTTCGCAGTTCGTGTGAACACCATCTTCTACAGACGACTATGCGGCAGTTTGTAGGCTCACCTTCCGCATTGACAAGAACCGACGGTACTGACCCAAAACATATGAAATAGAAGGCATTATTCGAGAGCCCTGAAACATGTGGCTTCTGTGCTTGCTTTGTAATACACAGCATCGTTTAGAGGGCAAGAAACGCATGTATACCTCAGGGCTTCTGTCGAACGCTCACACCAAACGAGCTTCTGCATGAGACATGGATAGAATGGAAGGGTTGCCGTCGGCAGCGTGTACTGGAACCAATACGCGGGCACCCTCTATCACTACTCCCATCTGGTCCTATCTTGACGGAATGCCGGCATGCCGCACGTGATCCTGTGGACACCTGACCTCAACGTCCCCGCCTTAGGGCATTTTCCGTTTCGCCTGTACCTCCCACATATTTGCTCACACATATGGAAACAAGTGTTTACATCTTTCGCATACACTCTCTCGCATCTGTGGAAAAACCTCGTGCTCGTGTCTCCCTCCCCACTCATGTCACTCGCGCACCTCAAACCTGCTTGTTGACTCCTTGTTAACTCAACGTACCTTTTACCTGCTTCTCGGCGGAATCGCTATATTGATAACTCCGTCCTCGGTGCCCCCAACATGGTGGTTAAAAACTTCGACCGGGACAAGGCTGGCCCATACGCAGGCGCTTTCCCGCTCCGCCGTTAACGACGCACAGAGGATCTACAGAACCGCCTGGCTCTCCTGGTTCATGTCTGGGAGAGCCAAGGAAGAGAGGGAAACCTCGGTGAGTCAAGACCTTTACCTAGCTGTGGGATTTGATAAGGATAGCGAGCATCGAATGGTGGATGGGAGAGTAAGAGGGGGGCGGCAGAGGAGAGGGCGAATCAACAAAATCCCATCTTCCGCAACGAGGAAACAACACTTTTCTCCAGTGCCCTCTCGACATGAATGTACGGACTCGACCGTTAGATCTGGCTGTGGTCACGATTGGTGAGTCAGGCTTTGTGGGACAACACGACGTCCGTCACTGGACACTTCTGCGCACATGACACCTCCTCTATCGCCCTCCCCTGAACGTTTTTTCGCTTGCGCGGCAACTGCCGCGGTAATAAGTGGCTGGAGAAGAACCTGATCCGGTTGAAAACGAGGCTTTATCGAGGATTTCGGGCGTGCTATTCGCTCGTCGGCCGCCCTAGGAGGGTGCTGGAGGAATTGGTCCAACAAGGGCTCATATCTTGTGAGTAGACTATTACCTTGTGAGTGGACTACTGTAGACAGTGAACGTTGGAGAATCGCGGGGCACACCACGCTAAATACCCTGCCGATTCAAGGTAGCATGATGCGCGATGCGGTTGCCGGTCCACCTCCGTAGCATCTGATGCCGACGCGCCCATGGTCATCATCCGATATTCATCTAACCGGCAACAACAGCAACAACAACAACAACGTTATAGCTGTTGTCCTGTAGGTACATCGCTCATTCTCAATCCAACCGGGCGCTTCGACGACGTGACGCTCTATGGCGTGGCAGCCAATCTCCTTGCACCGTTCAAGGGGTCCGACGCGAGAGCCACCTTGCGGGCGGCAATAGGAGACGCCGAAGATGACGGTTCAGGCTTCTCCGTATCCCTCAACTTCCTCCACAAGGGTAACGGTGAGTCTGCCGCGAACCCCCCTTTACTTCCCTCCCTCCCAGGCGTTTGGGAGGAAAGACCTGGGGGAGAACTTGGAGGGGGGCTTCTCTAGTATCGCGGTAGCTTCGTGTACCAATTGTAGAGTGGGGAGAAGGATGCCCAATGCGGTTGTTGCACAGGCGTGAGCATGCGTTTGACAGAACTCCGGGCCCTTGACTTGCAGCGCAGCAAGGTCCACCCGATGCAAACCTGCCGTAACTCGATTGCTCGGCTGGACCAGTTTCGATGGGCGTTTCCCTCTGTGCGGTACGAAATGAAAACAGAAAGCTGGTTTTATCGTATATTGCCATGCCGGAAGAAATAATGAATGTCTATCTGACCTCGCAGACCATTGGGTTGCTTCCGACACGGTTCTTGTGGATGAACGTTCCCCTTGTACGTTGCCCGCACAGCATCACCGGAGTATCCGGTCGACGCTTTGCCTCCGGGAGTCGGGATGTCCGTTACTCTGGACCTGGAGGGGAAATACGACACCACAGGTTCGGTTAGAAACACCCCTTCAGAACAAGGAGAATCGAGAGAAGCTGCACGTACGCTCCTGCCGGGGAGCGTTTCCACAACCCCTTCTTTCGGCACCTCGTCGCATACGCCCATGCCAACCGCGCGTGGGGCACTAAGACGTTCAATATTTTTTCTGGCTTCTATGTAGTAGGCGGTCCGCTGTCGCCAGAGCCTAGCGCCTGCACCGCCATCATATCGTGTCACTCTGCTACTCCCACGTTCGCCCAGAACAAGCCTTGGAAAAGGTCGCCGCCGCCGTGGAAAAGGTGGTGCGTGCGCATGCCTTGCCCGAGCTGAAGCGTATCGTCCTCTTTCATAGCATGCGGGGTGAGACATTGAGGAAGGAGAGGTTGCGATCCATTTTGGAATGATTGCAGATAGTTTGGAATATTATCGGGTTAAATTTGCGGGCTTGGTGCGTATTGTCGGGTTCAAATTGCGGGCTTGGGTAGTTCAATAGGGCGAAAAATTATATGTGCAGATTATTGTGCATATCACCAACATCGTCGTGATAACACGGTTCCTGGTTTCAGAAATACTGTAGACTTCAATTGAGCCCAAAGCGTCCGATGTTCTAGTAGAATACATCAAACCACGAAAGAGAGCAATCGGACTGCAAGGCACCGAATGGGAGCCAATTCAATCCAAAGTTAGTTTTAGAGTTTTACCATGTTGTGAGACAAGCTCCATGGTGCGAACATTCCCGCCCGAAGCCTCACAGAGCTCTCCCGATCGCGTCTCGCCATGGAGGCTAGAGTGACGTTGGCCATGATCTTAGTCTTGCCCTACCATTCCATTTGTAGTAACCGAAACCATGCAAAGAAAATGCTGCAAGAGAACTCCGACTGCCGTGTTTTTCAGCATGCCGTGTGCTTGAGACGTTACGGGGCAGCTCCCGTATCTCTATAGCATCTCTCCGCTTTCGACGAACAAGATGATGCACTTTGATGTTCGCCGTCCTCCGCAATCTTCATCTCTATTCGCATATCTGTAGCACGTTTCGTCCTCTCGCCTCCACCGCCGCCGCCGCCGATGCTGCTGACGCTGCGTGACTTTCTGTCGGCGTTCTCTCTGGTGCCGCCGCGGCTGCTATCGGGTGGGAGAAACAGTTGCGGTTGCAAATCTCCCCGATAAATCGCAGGCGTTGAGAGTGGCTTTTTTCTGGCGAGCGCAGGTGCGATTCCACTTGCTTCTAAACTTTTTTTATCCGTGTATCCCCATTGGTTGGTGAGAGACGCGTGTAGAGATGGAAGCAATTGGTCAGGCACAGGGAACTGTGTCGGAGCTCCTTGGATGGTTGTACTTGGACCGTGCCTAACCTTGATGTCCCGCGGCTTAAGAAGGGCAATCTGTACAGATACAAAGGTTCATGAAAATTTCCGGATGGTGAATTGCAAGAAAACGTTCAGACTCGTTTGGTTATACTTCACACTACCCGACCCGTGCCTAATGCCCTCCATCTAATCACAGGCAAATATCGACTTCCAATTCAGGCAGCTTAAGCTGAGCTTGCGGCCGACAGACCTCGTACGAGAACTGACGGTTTCATTCTTCTGTCCCTTGCAACTCCTTCGTGAGTGGGTGCGCTGTGTTTTCGCCGGAAGATCAATCATGATTTTCGCGTTAGTCGTACAACTTCGTCCATGAAGCCTGTAGAACGACATGTTTTTAATGACCGATGTTTCAGTACAAGGCTCCTTACCTTGGCCTAAGTTGCGGTTCTCATTATGTCAGAATTCCACGCGAACGGCTTGAGGTTATACAGGCAGAATAGGCTCCGTGTCCCGCGCAGGTAATATGCGCCGCCACACTTACTTCTGTGTTCCCGTGGTCTTGTTCCCGTGGTGTTTTGTGTATCTCGGGGGTTTGGATTATCACTCGAGAATGTGGGACCCACTCGGCTCAGCGTGCCTTCTTTTCGTAGAACAAAGTTTGCGATCAACTTCGTAGTAGTATATAAGTAGTCTACCTTAGGAGTGCTTGTTCAACGTTCGAGACTTGTCCAGCAAACGAACGAAGACCAAGGGGGCATACACTGGCAGGTTCTCCCTTCCCCGCCCCTCCTGCTCCTGAAGATGTTGAATTGAAGTAGAGTCGTACTTAAAACACGCAGACCCAATCGGTGGACAGTCCCAGGCCCGCCTGCTAAAGAGTTTTAATCAAACGGGACCTTGGCTATCGATGGCGTTATCTGCCGCGTTGGTCCGGAGTCTAGACCGTATCACTGGTTCATTGTTGACGATGACAAACTCCGATCACGCAAGGTGCGTGGCCTTGCCGGGATGGAAGCGTGGCTCCGGGTGGAGGCCGCCTTCCTTTCGCCGGCGTTTGAGAGAATAAGTACCACCCTGATAGCCAATATCGAATCTTGTTGCCAAGTAATGATGTTCTTCCGGGAAATATGCACATTTCCTGCCTCGCGCCCCCCCTCCCTCCCTTCACGCATCCAAATGGCACCAGAGATCCTGGAATCGCGCACGCTTGTTCTCGACGATCGTCTCAAGGTTTCAATTTCGGCGGAGGGATGCTTCTGCGGTCCGTTGGTATCCAAGCTGCTCGAGGTGATGAGGTAGATTTAGGTTTTCTCCAGTGTTATTACGTGTGCTGCTGTACTAGGCTACATGGAATAAGGAATATTGCAGCCAGTTGTAGCCCACGCTGACCAAAGCAACCGCGTTTGTTCCCTTTCAGGAGACGCTTGCTAGCATGATAGACAACGTTCGGCAGGCCGTGGCTGATTCGGCTGAGCACGACGTCGGCAGGGTCGAACGGGAGGCGAGGACCCAGAAGAATGCTCCGGGGATGCGGCATCCGTTGGGTGAGGGACGCCGCCATGTCATTTTTACGCCCTACCTCCATTCTTTGGCACCCCGTTGGCAACATACTGGTACTATATTTTGGTACGCTTTAGTGCGACCGCCCTTGCCGGCGCGATGAAGACGATAACCTCGATGACCATCACCAACCACCGGGAGTGGGCCCAACAAAGGGCAGAGCACTGATGAAAATGATTGCTTGTTGTCTCGTGCACACCACATTGATCACGACGCCATCCAGAAGACGACTGCCAAATATGGAAGGATGATCATCAAGCCGTTGACGTCCACGCATGGAGGCCCACAACAATTTCCTGATCCCCGCCTGACTTGAAGTCCCACCACAAAGGATATAGAGGGAAGACGCTGGCCGTGAGATCTTCATGGAGCTGTCGACGGCATAATACTCCATCGGCTCGACGCCATCAATGAGATATTTGGGCAGGGAAAAAGGAAACAAAAGTCTCCGAGAAGTGAACGAAATTCCAACAACCATCAATGAAGGAATAGCATCATCGAGAACGTAAGAAGTACACACCTCACCAGAGACTGCAAACAACAACCAGAGACCAGAAAAATATTCAAGCGCGATCGAAATTAACTCACCCATGAGAGCATGTGTTTCATCTTGCAGTTGTCCCCAAGAGGAGGGTGGCCGGATCTGTCCGTGAAGGGAGGGGCGCAGGGTTACCCGGCGGCGGTAGTGGTGGCGTTGGTCAGAAAAAATCGGAGTCTTCTGGCGGCACCTCGGCAGAAATGGCGGCGATCATCACCCCAACGAGAGGCCGGCTTCTGACGGAGAGGGGAAAAAGGTGGGGTAATGTGTAGACTTCTTGTCCTGGATTCACTTACACAACACTTGCAAATCCATCCATCATTTTTGTAGCCTGCGCAAAGAGAACCGTGTCTAGTTGGTCATTTCCGGAGACAGCCAACAATCATTATGTGCACATACGCTTGCTGCAAGGGTATTTAGAGGGCAAAATGTACACGGACGGGTCGTGGACGCCTCAACCATCGGAGGGGGGTTGATTTACCTTCAGCGTAGTTTGCCAAAGGACAGTGTGAATTAGCCTATACCATGGGCGACGTCTGAGTGCAAACACAAAAGGGCGCTTGTTCCGTCCACCAACCGAGCACTGCATGCGCCTGGGGTTGAAAAATGCTTGCTCCAAGCGAATGTCATTCGCTTCTGCCGCGTAACTCACCAACGTTGCCGACTACTTGGGCGCGCGCTCATGCTATCCATCAGATTCCAAGATACCAAAACCTCGAAGTGGCTAGACAGGATGTGGGCCTTCGCCGCCAAGCTGCGGGGAGCGAAGGTTCGTCCGCCCAGCAGGCAGAACATTCCACGCACCTGGCCTTGCCATGCTTTAGTCTAAAGGCTCCACCAAAACTGCACTCGGCGGTCCAAACGTCCTTCCGACGCGATCCATAGGAAATCCATCTCACACGCGACTGCTATTCAGTGTAAGCACGGAACGATGGCCCGCCACACAACCCAGATATGGCAGCTTTGACCGTCGAAATCTAATTGCTTCTGCACAGGCGTTTGCGCTAGACCTCGAGGCTTCCAGCCCCCTGGAATTCCTGGAGAGCAGCTGGGCTCGTGCGTATCTGCCTGCTTCGTGGCGATCGCAAGAGGTGGGCAGGTCAACGCGTCACCAGTAGTAGTGTCCGAGTTTCAAGCACACAGTTGTGGTACAGGAGGAAACGAGCCAGAGTCAAACGAGCGCGATGAAAAAATCGGACCGAGCATTGCCAATTACGATTCTTCGGGATCGGCACCCCAAAAATCGAGCAATCCGAGGGCTTATGATGAAGAACAACGACGTTTCCATGTTTATAGCGCGACGATGTAGCAACCGATGAATGCCTCCACCGTCTTGAAGCGGGCACCGTCTTGTGAAAATCAGTTTTCCAGACCGTACCATAAGGTACGGGTATGTCGGGATCATCGTCCTATTGCAGTACCACAGTAGAACGAAAACTACTGTAGTTTTCGTTCACCTTTTTAGTTTTCGTGCTCGCCCCTTCCTCACGATTGAGCAAGGCATTCACTACCCCGGGTTTCGCTGCCGGATGGTTCGCGTCGTGGAAGAGCTCCTTCCTGGCGCAAGCCTCCGCCCTGGGAGGCAGGGCCAGGGAGCACTTGCAGCGGATGCGTGCCCGTCAGGAAGCAGCGGTAGAGAGGGTAAATATATCTGAAGTGGTTGTCCATGTTCCTACAAGTAGGAACTTGGTACTTCAGATCTCACCCAGGATCGAAGGTGTTGGAAGTGAGATTTGCATGATGAAGATGAGGCGGGTGATGGTGGAATTGACAGGCTCCTTCTTATAGTAGTGCAGCGCAGAGGATCTCCCAACGAGTCTCAACAGGCACCACGGGGGGGCTGGGATGCCGGGGGGGGGGGGGGTTGTTGGACACACGGCGGAGAGGTACAGTAGTCTCACCTTATTGTCCGTTTGATGTTGTTCAACAAAGAGCTTTGAGGAAAAACAACAAGGGTATCACTATAGACATGGAGCAACGTCGTCAGCCCCGCAGGGCCAAGTGTTTCATGCCTTCGTCTGGATGCCAACATGGCCTGCCTTGGTTTCAGGCGGCGGCAGCGGCTGATACCGAAGAGGGACGGAAACTAGCGGGGATGGAGGAAGAATTGAGACTCCTTGGGGTATCGAAGGCGTTGCTGGCGGAGGCCATGGGAGAGAAGGAAGAGGAGACGGTCAGACGGCTGCGAGAGGCCAAGGACAAACAGGTTCGACTCGTTTCGTTGTAAGAATCCACACATACATTACAAGAGCAACCAGCTTCGAAAGCTCCGACGGGACATATTGCTTTGCTCTTGTGGCTGTTGGCTTGGTTGCCCCTTTGGTGTGGCTCCTGTTTGTCTATGGTGGCGTTGTTGTTGTTCCAGTCTTCACGTTACCTCAACGGCTTCACCATCGCTACAACCCGGTAGGTTCCGCGAACTGCGCGCAACAACGACCTCGGACCACCACCCCGGCAACAAGATGGTGTCACGACACACATGCTACCGCTCCGAGTTTCTCGTAGTGAAAACTGTCTTCAATGCATGTTGTTTTCGGGGTACCCACTGGTCAGATGGAAGAATACGCCGAGCTCGAAGATGCACTTCTGGCTTGCACCAAGTACCTTCTTGGGCCTCGCGAGCTGCGCATACAATCAGGTGAGGTAATTGACAGCATGCGGGTGTCACTTGCGGGGGGTGTACGTGCACAGCAGTGCTAGCTCAAAAGTACGATCGAAGTATTATCCGCTTGCCGACATGAACACGCTCCAGAGGTACAAAGTGGACGGAAATCTGACACGCAGATGAATGACTACAGGAACACGAGCACTCTCCTCAACGGGACGAGAATTGCTCTTGTTTGTCGTGAGACTTTGATGAGACCGCCTGTTGAGCTCCCAGCACCAAGCCGCAGTATACCAACGCGTGAGGGTAGACACACAGATAGGTGGAGAACGCTCGACACGATGGCGCATGCATGTCGGGTCCTCTTCACCATGTGATGTTCCTACAGAGCGCCGGACAGATGAATGGGCCGAGGCTCGATTCAAAATTTCATCGGAAATAGGTAGAGTTCGGTTTAGGATCTGCCGGTGACTGTGTTCCCCAACCCTATTTTTGCGCGACATGTAACGCCTGTATCTCGACTACCACTTATTTCTTCTTTCTTTGTTGTGGGCCCGTTCGGTGCACCCTTCCTCGCGACAACTAAGGTCACAATGTGCTGGTGGCGGAATTCCAAGGCCTGGACATCCTCGACGCCCTCTCTGCCGCTCGCCACCCGGGGGGCGAGGAGGACGATGGTGGCAGTAGCAGCAGCGGCAGTACCGACTCCACCTAAGTGTTTCCACGGTCGATGAAAGGAGATACCGTGGGTCGCGGCAAACGAGTCCTTGTGCGTAGTTTTCCAAAGCAAGTGTTTAATGTGCTTCCGATGATTGAGGTTTTGGTTGGTGCATGCTGTCTGTGTTGGGCAAGCAACAGCTGACGTTGTGGCCAAGGCAGCTCCGCGGGGGAGTGCTCATGGCCATGAACGACGTGGGCTTTCGATGCATAGAAATGCCGCATTCCAGGGTAAGAAAGGGGGTGGTTTGTTGCCTACCACTCGTCCGGAGGCGGTGTGCACGTTGTTCTTAGCTGGACAACAGCAAACGTGGAGCTCAAGCACACGTCTGGAAGCAACGTAAAGGTGAGGCAAGTTACAGCCCACGCAGGGCGAGGGGCGACACGGGGAGGCACAGTGCACAGATTCCGCTGCCCACATCCTGAGCGGAGATGGAACCTCCATGTCTTGAGTTGAAGAAGCACAAAAAACTGTGTATTTTCCGCAAAGTTTCTTTTCGTTTCACCTTCTTCCTCCGGAGGTATATCCCCTTGCCGGAGAAAAAGCAGACGCCAACACCCAACAACAAAATCCTGGCCCGTAGGGGCCAAACCAACCAAACCCCTTGTTTTCCGCAACGATCGCGTTCATACGTGTTCACCACACCCCCCATACTGTTAATGCTCACCCTTTCCCCGCCTGTCACACCCTCCCTCCCTCCCTCCCTCCCTCCCGCCCTCCCTCCGCAACGTCTATATCTGAATGTTTTTTACGAACCGACGAACCACTAACTCCCGTTGGGTCCGGGGATGCACACACACATGCACACGTATCCTCACACCTCGGGCATCCTCGTCCCGGTGCGAATTATCCTTCTTCTCGTGCGCCCTCCTTCCCCTTCTCCCTTTGCTGCTGATTATCCGTGAAGGACCCCACGCTAGGCATACATCTAGGTTTGAAGCCGAATCGACAGGGCGAAAATCGCGCATCGTCCAGATTGGCAACAACGATAGGACAGGGGGGAGTGGTCGCCGGCAGCAAATGCGTACACGGTCGTTGACCCAGATCCTGGTCAGAGTTGCGCGGTAGCACTGTGATCACACACAGGGTGCGAAAGGTCAGAAAACGAGCCGAAACAAGCAGCATCCACTGCTCTTTGTTTCGCCCGCATTTCACCTTTTGCTACCTGATCCCTTCCCCGCGGTTCTCAGAACGGGTCTCAGAACGGGTCTCAGAACACGCTGCGGAGGGGCACACGAACACCAAACAACCAAACCAAAACAACACACAACCACACACAAGCAAAAAATAACCAACACAGCAAACAACCACCGACATCCATCCATCCACCCGCATGACGTTTCTGTGCCATCCTCATGAAAACTTCTCCGGGACGTGCTGTATAGCGGAAGACAATGTCCGCCACGCCCCACCACCTACCCCAAGCGAATCACCAACGGAGAGAGGCGCATTCGATGCGTACGCAACGCTCTCAACACGCCCCCTTAGCTCTGAAGGCCTTGAACAGACCACGTTTTCGTCTCTCGCTTGTTTCGTGCAAGCACCTCCGCCCTTCAGGCTTCCTCATGAAGGGCGGCCATAGTGAGGGTACGGATCTTGGTTGATCCCGTTGGCCCCTCCGCTAGCACCCTGCTGCGGCTGCGGTAGTGGTGGGGGCGGCGGTTGCTGCTGTTGCTGCTGCTGGGCCAGGAGCTGTTGCTGCTGCATGTAATGCCTGCGCTGGAACGCCGCCGTCGCGGCACTCGCCGCCTGAGCCGCCGCCGCCGCGTGTGCCACCGACGCGGCGGGCGTCACCTGTTGCTGCTGTTGCTGCTGCTGCTGCTGCTGCTGCTGCTGCTGCTGCTGCTGCTGCTGCTGGTACGCCGCCAGAGTCGCCGCCGCCGTCGCGGCATTTGCGCTGGCCGTCGCCACCGCCGAGGACTGGTGCAGGCCGTACCCCGTGTACGGGTAGGTCGGAGAGGGCGAGGGCGCCGGAGCGCCGCCGCCACCGGCGGGCGAACTCGGGGCGACGGCCAAGCCTACCGCAGCGCCAACTCCTTGGTGTGGGGCTGTTGCCGCGGGAGCTGGAGAGGGTGCCGTGCGCAGGAGCGCCTGCTGCTGCTGTTGCTGCTGCTGCTGCGCTTGGAGCTGCGCTGCTTGCTGGGCGGCGTGCCACTGCTGGTGGCGCGGGCGCGGGCGCGGGGGCGGGGGGGGCGGCACGTCTTCCAGTGGCGTCGGGGCCGGGGTCGCGGCGGCGGCGGCGGCGGCGGCGGCAGCTTGTTGCTGCTGCTGCTGGGCCAGAGCGTGCTGCTGCAGGCTCTGCTGGTAGATCATGTGCCGCTGCAGCTGGAGCTGGAGCTGTTGCTGGTGCTGCTGGACCCACCAGCTTTGCTGGGCCGTCTGCTGCTGCTGGGTAGGTGGCTGCGGTTGGGAATCAGTCCGCTGAGGCCGCGGGGGTGGCGGAGGAGGAACGTCTCCCGGAACAGGCGCCGCTGCCGGCGCCGGCGGCGGCAGCGGCAGCGGGGGTGCAGGTGTAGATAGCGCCGACGGGGGTAGATGCAACACGGCCGCCCACTGCTGCTGCGGCGTCGGCTGTTTCGGTTGGTTCGCGTCACGAGAGAACCAACGACAGCGGGACGGCCAAAACAAAAAAAGAGTGGGCGGTTGAAGGGGAATGAGGAGCGTGCGTTTGGGAAGGGCAAGCGAACGAAAAAAAAATTGCCGTACCGGCACATATTGCCGCGTCAGGCACGCTTCCCGTCGGGGTCAAGCAGCAACTGAGGGTCCTGGGGTGGAGGGCGAATGAGAAGAGAAACAAAACGGTTCGAGCGAGCACCAACCGGTTCTTCCAACACATGAGCGGCGATGGCGCACCACAGCAACAGCTTTGGCTTCGCTGGGAAGCGCCTTACGTTCCGCTTGACAGCTACAGGACGATCCAATATGGATCCAATCGCGAACGGTCGCGACTGCAAAACAACCTACAAGTAGCTTCGAAAGCTACACACACAACGCGAGCCACCATTAAACAAAAAGAACTTTCGGCAATGGCCGGGGTTGGAGGAGGATCCGCCAAACCACTCGCCCCTCCCAACAAGCAAGCGCACCAACCCAGAGAACGCAAAAACTAACGGCGTACATACCTGACTGGCTGGAGCAGGATCCTGGCCTGCTGCTGCTCCTGCCGCTGCTGCTGCTGCTGCTGCTGCTGCTGCCACATTTGGAGAACGTGGCAAGGAATCGGCCGCCGCCCGGTCCGTCGCGGCCACCGCAATACCTGCAGCCTCCTCGCCGCCGCCAAACGCAACCGCTGCTGCTGCTGTCGGGACGGCTGCGGCGGGGTACGAGGCGGGCGCGACTCCGTTGCTCCCTCCGGCGGGTGTCGCCCTGCGATCAGCAGAGCGCCACTGGTCTCCGCCCGCTGCTCCCGCGGGAGCGGGCGCAGAAGAGGCCGGCAAAGAAGAACCACCGGAGCTGCCCGCCGCCGAACCC